TCTCTTTCAAGGACCGCACCGTCGCACTGCCACTGACTGTCGTTGACCGTGACCGGCCTAGTCTTTTAGGCCTGCAATGGTTCAGACCTCTCGGAATCACTGTAGCCGGAGTCCACCGTGCCGAGAGCAACGATTGGGAGGAAGCCCTCGTGCAAGAATTCCAAGACATTTTCGCGAATGGACTAGGCAAGTACAAGGGGACCCCGATCTCATTTAACTTGAACCCTGAGGTAGCACCCATCCGCCTTAAGCCGCGTCGGGTACCGTTTGACCTGAAACCTAAAATCGACGAACAACTCGATAAGCTAATAGCACAGGGCGTGCTGGAACCCACCGACCACGCCCGGTGGGAAACCCCAATAGTGACGCCTATCAAGCCTGATGGGTCACTGAGAATTTGAGGAAACTACCGGGCCACCCTAAACTGTTTTAGCGGTATTGCACGACGGACATCCGGGCATCGTGCGAATGAAAGCACTCACACGGAGCTACGCCTGGTGGCCGGGAATCGACAAAAGAATCGAGGCCTGGGTCGCTACTTGTCAACGTTGCCAGGACGTCAGCAACGCCCCACCTAAAGCAAGCCCAACCGAATGGGAAACTCCGAGGGGACCATGGTCCCGTATTCATATTGACTTTGCGGGGCCTACGAAAGGGCACACTTTCCTTATTACAGTCGATGCCTATTCAAATTGGCTCGAGATCCATCGAATGAACACAACTACAACAGACTCAGTTATCAACAAATTAAACAGACTATTTGCCACACATGGTTTTCCGGACGTTCTGGTTTCAGATAACGGCCCACAGTTCACAGCATTACCATTTGAACAATATCTTGCTGACCGGGGCATCTGCCATGCGCTAACCTCGCCCGCGCACCCTGCGGCGAACGGACGTGCAGAGCGCATGGTACAGTTTGTAAAAAAGACCCTCCACAAAATGGAATTCGGCGACATCGATGAAAAATCAATCGAATTTTATTGTTGCAGCACATCACGCCCCACAGCGTTACCAACAAAACGCCCGCCGAACTTCTCATGGGGCGGAAACTACGATCGCACCTTGACCGGCTCCACCCCGCATACGCACCCGAAAAGCCTTTCGGCTCCAGCAGCAAATGCCAGGAATTTAAGGTAGGCGATTTAATCTTTGCCAAAAACTTCTCCGGCGACCCTTTATGGATACCCGCAACCGTCACCCACCTCACAGGGCCTAGATCTTACCACCTGCTAACAGACGATGGGAGGGTGTGGAAACGCCACATAGACCAACTCCGTTCGAGATTACCACCCAGCGCCCATGGCTCCCCGGGTTCACCAACTGAGGGGGGAGGAAATATCGAGGAAATTGACTTCGATATGACAGATAGCAGGCCAACGGAAACCCTACGGCCCAGCGAAGTACCGGGAATCGAAGCAGGGAGGGAGTTGACTTTCCCATGGGACGTGAACACGGGGGAAACCGAACTGTGAAACCCCAAAGAAACACTGATTGGTGGGGACAACCACAACGAAAGCAGCACGGAATTTCCGTGCAGCGAAACGGAGCTTAACAGAGATCATCCAAATGCTCCACCGGAACCGGACTTTAGGCCAAACCCGGTGGAACCACGGAAATCATCCAGACAGACCAAACGGCCTGTCTATCTTGAGGATTTTGTTACAGCTCCCCTCAAAAGGAGCCCAAGGGGGAGGGGTGTTGTGAATCAATAAAAAGTAACTAAGCCCAAATGCAAAGCGGGTTTTGAAAGCCTGCACACCTGATTGGTCCTTAAACAACGAACAAAGATTGGTCCATAACAAGTCCCTGATTGGCCCATATTAGGACACTTCTTATTGGGTATTAGTTGAACTTGTTGCACATATTATTGGTTAATAGGGTAGCAGCCAACCCTATAAAAGGGTTACTGCTGCCCATAGCCTTGCTCTGTTCTGTTCTATCTACTGTTATTAAAGAGTTTGAAGTCACTGGTCAGATGTCTGGTCTCCATTATTCTCCAAACTTAACAATGAGCAATAAATTAAAACAGAATTGTGAAAGAATCCCAGAATGAAACCTGCTCTTTGTCACTTTAAGATTGAGGATAAGATTGATTATACATAGCATTTATCATAGAAACTAGTTTGCACTCTGCAGAGATATAGAAGATAGCAAGAGATGCAGGTTTATGAACTAATATTTACTGACAGTAACACAAAGAATAATTCTGTAACCTATCCTTTTAAAAACAGAAATAGTTACACATGAATGCAGTACTAGAGATATGCTTTCTTTGGAGTGAGAAGCAGTTACGTTTCTGATGACAGATAAAATGGAGCATTCTAGTCCCTCTGTTCAAAGTGGAAGTGGAAGAACAGCTGAAGATAGGCCATGTTGCCAGCAGCAGGAAAAATAAAATGAGAAAGACAAAAGCTTTTAGATTAACAAATAGATCTAAGGCTTCGGAGGACACAGTTCCTCTCTCTATAGTCAAGAGCAGAGCCTCAGCTATCCACATCAGAGAAGGAACTTTCGCGCTTTTATCTACAATTTGTTTTTGCTGTTGTTCAAAATGAATGCATTCCTTGCAAAGTGTTCCAATAAAAGTTTTTAAGGACCTAACTCTCCTCCCATGATTTCAGGACTGAGTTAACAGAGAGTCATATCATCTAGAACAGAGAGTGCCCAACCATGAAGATAAACTGAAATTGTCAACAGAGCTAATAAACACTAGATTTATAAACACTAGATTCACACAGGCATTTTGATATGTGAACTTTGAAATATTTCTTAAAAGATTTTGCATCCACTATTTTGTTTCCCTTTCTTAATGAAATGTAAACAGTTGTAATTTCTAAACTAAACAATGATCATGGCCAACACACTTCCAGATAGCACCTGGAAATATTGCTGACTCCACAAAAGTTTTAGCAAGTTTACTGCATCTTGATGATTTATAATTATTTGTTTGTAAACAAGGAATTGATGTGAGAATAAATGTAATTTTAAATAGCACGGGCACTGCCATAATCATTTCACTAAATACAAAGAAGGATTTTGAGAACTTTTATGGGTTATACTTATTCCTCATACTTTGAAATGTGGCATGTCTGATCATAAACAGGGATTTTTATTTGGTAATATATGCATATTATCAGGGATGGGATTCAGCCGCTTCAGACTGGGACAAACCGGATGTTAATTTTACATCCAGTTCAGCGAACTGGTAGTTCCGACTACCGACTGGCACTCTCACTCCGCCCCACCCCTCCCAGGACTCCCCATTAGGCCCGTCTGGCTCCCAAGTAAGTGTAGGGAGGTGATGTTTCGACGAGGTCCCACTCACCATCTTCAGGCTGGTGCTTTCGGCTTCATGCTTGTGCGAGCAAAGCATGATCTGAGCTGCCGTCTTTCTATAAATACTAGTGGGGAGGCTGGTGTGCTGTCACCTCTTGATTGGTTAATGGAGTTGATGTCTGCAAATTGGCTGGCTTTTTCGTAAGAACATGTGTGGCTGAGGTATTGGCTGTGTGTCTATCAGCCTCCTGTGTTGTAACGACCTGGGTAGTGGGCTGTGTAATGACCTTCTGAGTTCTATTGTTTTGAAATCCTGGGTCTTGTGCTGTAATCTCCTGGGTTGTAATGACCTGGGTAATGGGCTGTGTGATGACCTTCTGAGTTTTATTGTTGTGACATCCTGGGTATTGTGCTATAATCTCCTGGGTTGTTGGCTGTGTTGTAACATCCTGAGGTTTTGTAGTGTAACCTCCTGAGTTCCATGATATATCCAGAGTGGGTGGCTGTGATATGACATTCTGGGTTTTGGTTTGGCTCCGAGTTTGAGGCCTGGCTATGTGTTCATGGCGTGTGTCTGTTTGCTTGGTTTGAGGATCGGGGTGTGTGGCAGCTGGTGATGCAGCTGTGGTCTGGTTTCTGGACGGTGGTTGCCTTTCGTCTATGGGGTGGGTTTGGGTTTGAGTCTGGTGAGGGAGATTGGTGGTGGCGTCATGTGTTGTTTTGGGTCCAGTGTTGGTTTTTGTGGCTGGGAGAATAAATGCATGCATCGCAGAACACAAGAACACAGTCAGAAAAGAAGAAAATACTTCCTCCCTTTTCCAGCACCTTAAAGCCACAGGACATGAAATTAATTTTGAAGGAACCAAATCAATCTCCAATACTGAACACTTCAACAATAGAATAATCAGGGAAGCCATCAAAATGGATTAAAGACCTTTTACCCCCGCAACATAATGTACGACACTATGTTCTTATCAAAATATTTATATTGGCAAACTTGTTTAACAATAGATTGTAAAGACTCCCCTAAAGGGTAGTTTGTCTCATATAAGATCTGCCTCAGATCCTGGGGGATCTTGATCATAATGGATGATATTGACCCCATAGCTTGCCTTGTGAGATTTCCTCTGGAGGTGTTGGGCAAAGAGATGTTAGGTCATGCGGCATTCAGCTCTATCTCATTGGTTTTGGCAATAGCCCCCCCTCCCCCCAATATCCCGATTTGTTGCTGGAGGCCTTGTGGAATTTCCTGATGTAAAATATTATTTTATTGGATTTTGAAGAAATAATAGAAATGACAACTAGGTTTATAAAGCAAATATATGAATTTACAATTAGGACTATTGCAAAAAAGAAAAGAAAAAAAGAAAACGAGAGAGAGACTGCTTTTTAAAAAGTAATTAAAATACTTAAAATAAAAGAGACAAAACTTTCTAAACAGAAACAGAAAGGAGAAAAAATAGTAAACGCCAAAGGAAACAAAGTGCTTTGTATCATTTGTACAAAAGAAAAATTCAGTAATAATGATACAAAGCACCTTGCTTTTCAAGATTTCCCTTCTGTTCATCTCTATCAGAACCTATAATTTATGTTTCTATAGATTATTGCTATTCTTCTTTAAGGCAACACATGAAGCCTAAACAATAGACAGTTTGATCTAGTGGTTAAGACACCAGCCTAGAAAACAGGAGATTGTGAGTTCAGGTCGTACTTTAGCCGTGAAATCTAGTTGGTTGACTTTGGGCTAATCACCAGGAAACTGTGAGTTCTAGCGGGGGTGACTTTGGCCCAGTCTCTCTTCTTAGCCCAAAGAACTTGGGGAAAATAAGGGCTAGGATAGTGTATTAGATATGTTCACTTTCTTGAGTTATTTGTTAAAACAATAAAGGTGGAATTCAAACAAAATAATTATAATTAATATAATGCAATATGGAATCAGGTTGTCAGATTTTGTCCCTCTGTCAAAATAAAGGCATTTTAAAGGTGAGAAACAGCTTATTATGAGTTTTTCTTCTTCTTCTGTCAGATCAAGATAACACAGCGCAGGTCTTGTAAGGCATGGGAGGGGTGATAAATCCAAGAGCAGGAGTCAGGTCCAGATCATCTTTAGATGTTCCTGAAGGTGGCTGGAAGGTAAATCTCTGGAGGAGGTTGGTAAAGAAGAGGAAGAGCTCCATTTTGGCAAGGTTCTCACCAGCACATACTCTGTAACCTGGAAGAAAGCATACATAGCAAAAATGGTGGGATTTTTGGCTTCTTAAACTATTTTACATGGCTTTCCATAGTCACATTGCCTCAAATGAATAATTATAATCTTAATGAACCTTCCTAACTATTCCTAACTGATGTTACCTGCAGAAAATGGCATGAATGCATCTTTCTTCACAAATTTTCCTTCTGAGTCAAGAAAATGCTCAGGATAGAATTCATGAGGTTTCTCCCACTGGGATTCATCATGGAGCACCGATGACAGCAATGGAACAATATGCATTCCCTAAACATTGAAATTATATAAAGAAGAGTATTTTCCATTTAACACATTGCTGTAGAAATTATTATAATGAAATGTTATGCCATTGTTTTAAAGGTAAAACAATTGACAACATCGATATAGCTTGAAATAAAAATAACATCCTCAATAAGACATTCATCTCGCTAAATCTTTTGTACAGGGGTGATCGCAAACCGGTTGTTATACTGGTGGAATCCCATCCCTGTACAAAAGACTTAGTACCAAAGACTAATAATTTAGTTTCTATTTCTCTCACAGTTAACATAGATAGTTGTTATAAAAACTTAATTTGATATAAAATAGTGGAGTCTATTAGGGCTTTATGTAATTCATCCTTTTAAACATTTTCTTCTAATCTACTGTGCATTATTTCTTGTGAATTGCAGTGAACAAAATACCCTCAGCTATAACCTTGTTGTTGTCACAGTCTTTATCTCCATATTTTTATCCGAAAACCTCATTTAGTTTTTTTTATGGTACTCCCCAATCCATTCTTTTTGAAGTATTTCTTCAATTAGTCTCCATCTAAAAGAAATTGCTTTTGTTTTAACTGTTAAATTAACTGGATTGCAGTCAGAAAAAGGATTTGGTAAAATGTCCACCTAGACTATCTTATTGGCCCTTTGAAATCTATATAATATGAAATCTTGAAAAGGATGTATGTGTTTGTGGGGAAAAAGGTATATCCTCTTGAATTTCCTTTTGTTTGCAAGAGCCTATCAGTGCCAAATTCTTCCATCAAATAATAAAAAAAAGATAATTTGCCCTGATTAGGTTAATTGCTTTGACAGAGTCCCAAAGGTGCTTTCTTTTAAAAAGCAACTGGACTTTCTTCTTTTGCTAGAAGTGGTTTCACTTCTCATCCAAGAAACTTCTTCAGTTCTGACTGAATGGTGGAGAATGGACCGACTCTCACAAAGACAGCTAATGACCACATGACTGCAAAGAATATAAATCCTTTATGTCTGATAACACAGGGAAATTATTTTTAAGATTATTATTATATGTAATAGTATAGTATTAAGTATAACAAATATATTTAAACATACTATAGTATTATATACTTAAATTTACTATAGTATTAATAGTACTGTGTAATAAATACTATGCATGGAGAAACATAGTAGTTCAAAAAAGTTTAAGGAAAAAAACAAGCATAGATTATTATTTCACAAAAACTACCTTGGGAATGAAGAAACCTTTGAAAGTTATATCCTTGGTGGTTGCATGGGGGAAATTGGTTGGAACAATATCAGCAAACCTTTGAATTTCATGAATTACAGCATTGGTATAAGACATTTTGACTCGGTCTTCTGTTCTTGGCTGACGAACCCCAATCTCTTTGGCAATTTCTTCTTGGACTTTCTCTGGGAGAATAGAATCACATCAATTTTGTTTTAAAGGAGATTTTATGCAAAAATTCCAAAGTACATTTATAGTATAGATTGTTATGCTCCTGTTGTAATCTGAATCCGAAAAGGAAGACAAGCAGCTGACAGGGAATGGGAGTGTGGCTCCGTTGGCTGTGGAGGAGGCTGGGGAAGGGCAAAGTCCGGCTGGGCAGAGCAGCGGAGAGTTAGAACAAGGAAGAGGGAGTTCAGAGGAAGACCCAGGCCCATCCCATCTTCATCCTAGGGCATGCAGAGAGGAATGGAGAAGAGAACAACATGGGTTCCATGGCTTATGGGGGAGGAAAGGACCCTGATTCTCTTCATTAGCCACACCTGGGAATGAGAGTTTAAAACAGATGCAAGCTGAGGTCCGGGGTCTTCTGGGAACAAACATGAGTTTATCTTGTGTTGACTTTGGTTATCTGCATTCTTGGCATACTCCCAACTGTGTTGAATTACTGCTGTTCCTTCACGTCTGGAATTCTTTCTCTTGCCCTGCTGGACTTATCTTGCCTTGATTGGACTTATAGTTACAGTTTTTGTTGACCACATTTTGGATTCGATTCTCTGCAGCCAAAGGCTGTTCCTGGGAGAGTTTTCTCCAGCCAGAAGGTAACCCTGGGGGCAAAGTTTGAGCTAATAAAGGGACTCCTACTGATTATCTAACTGTGTTGCCTTTGTGCCACACCCTGGGTCATCACACAAATCTGAAGATAATCATTTGTGATCAATGCTTGTAATTTTTCTTACTGTACTTTTTTTTCTTTATTCACCATATGTCTTATTCTATGATTATGCCCATGCAGAAAAAGATTGATTAATCACTGATTATTTATATTTTAAGGTCTATAAATTATGAAATGATTAGTGAGATATAAGAAGTCTATTAAGGGATGATTGTGCTTGGAATGTATAATTCATAGTTGAAAACTCTCTCCAGCCTTATCTCATATTCAGCAGTAATGAGAGGTGATAAGTGCATAACACACATTCTGTGACTGATATATCTTTCAGAAATCTCTGAAGTACATGTGTGAAGCCTTCATATGGTGACATCTTATATATTCACTCTCACCTCACATTAATACCTTCAAATATAAATAAATAGGGCAACTCGTTCTTGCTTCTTATTCTCCCACCCCTTGTTATTTGGCAGGTATTTTTATCTTTTTATTGAAAATCAGTCAAATAAAAACTGCTTACTCTGAACTTCTGGATACTTCATCATTAGGAGTATTGCCCAGCACAAAGTGTTTGAAGTTGTATCCATGCCAGCAATAAATAGGTTATCCACAAGACCTATAAGGTTATCATTATGGAAATAGCTATCTATTGACTTCTTATTCTCCTGAAGAGTATAAAGAAAACATATCAAGGACATTCAATGTATTCTATAATTTACATACATGAACAGATGTTACAGTGGCCTCCAAATTTTTAGTGTCAGGAGATTGTGAGAGATGTAGTTCACAAGAACTGGAGTACACTTTGTTACTTATCTGTAATAAATATTAGGGTTAAAATTCGGGTTATATATTAATAATGAGCATGATTAATTATGACCATGATTGACCAATTATGATCATGTAGATTTCTGCTTATATAAAGTAGTGGCCTCCAAATTTCCAGTGTCGGGATATCGTGAGAGTTTATTATATATAAAAGATTACTATACCTCTACAGAAATACACAAAACCAAGGATGAAAATCTCCTAGAATCCATATGGGTCAATATAAAAGAGAAACAAAGACATTGCTATAGATGTATACTACATCCCCCCCACAGCCAAGCAGAAGAAATAGGTGAACTCTTTGCTAATCAATGGACAAATATATGTTACCAATCAAGATGGCGACGCCCAACTAGGAAGGTGAAGACCTCGCTCCTGAAGCATTACCTCCCTATAAAGCCATCACCCGCACCAGAAACCACTTTTAAAGATGCTGTTACATCAGTAACCGTGAGTAAACCTGAGCCCAAAAAACAAGCCCAAAAACGCTAGATTCTGAAGCCGGTGGAGCCCAAATATTCCTGCTAACAGATCCGGAGCCCTCCTCTCCTTCCCCAGAGAAACAAAGCCCTCTCCTTCACTCGGAGCCTGCCTACAGAGAGCAAATAACCTACCTTCATTTGAATCCCTCACACAGCTGATAGAAGTTGTCTTCCACGCCAGACAATGCATTTCTTTTAATATCCCCCACGCAGTTTTCACATCTGTTAGCTGGCAGAAAAAAGAAATAAACAAGGAGGGAGGAAAAAGCCCTGAGGCTCGTACCCGAAGAGGGCCCCTCCATCCGAACTAAGAAGAGACTTGGCGTGGCTAGATCAAAGCTGTGGCTGAAGTAAAAGGAAAGGAGCGATCTTGCAACAGCGTGCTTAATCCTGGTGGAAAATCACTCCAATTTCTGCAGTGGAATTTTCCTTGGAAAGTGGAACTCTAAGGAGGAAAATAGCTGCGATTAACGATCCGGAGTTACTACCAGATTTAGTTGGAAGTAAAGGACAGATCGGATAAGTTAACCCAAGCCACGTGACTGTATTTTTTTTTTCTACTACTCAACTTGAAGAGCTTTAAGAAAGTTTTACACTATTTCAAAAACCCTTTGAGCATCGTGTTACAACTACAGAGTAATAGCAATCTACTATTACTAAGAGCAACAAATTCCTCTCAGTCAACAACAGCATTAACCCTTTCCTTGCAGACTCTTAATACTACCTCATTACTTTAATCAAACACTGATTAACTCATTACCTCAAAACTTACAACTTTTCTACCTCATCACCTATATCAACGGTTAGATAATCAATTTCTATAAAATATTTTATTAATGGTTCAATTGATTTATTGTCCTAATTGATTAGTGTGACTAGAATGTTTAGTGCAAATAGTGTGATTACTGACTAGTTGAAAAGATCAAGATTCATGTAATTTAATTGAATAGTAAAATCAATGATTTAGTGAATTTAAATGAACAGTGTGATTAATGATTAGTGTAATTAATTGATTAGTGTTTAGAGTAATTAATTGATTAGGTTGATTGATTAATTAATTGATTAATTAATTGAAAATAAATTAATTGATTAGTGATTAGAGTAATTAATTGATTAGGCTGATTGTTGCTCAGGAATATTATCTGACTAGAGAGATTACTGCAATTGATTGTTTGATGTGATATTGGCTATATAGATTACCCAAAATTGTTCCTTTAATTAATTCAATCAACGTACTATCTTAACAAACCTACCATGCCAAAAAGAAAATCCAATGTCAAACCACAACCTAAAGAGAAGATAATCCCCACCAATGAACCACAAGACTCCTGCACATGCCTTAAATGCTACAAAAATCTAAAGGATAATGAAAACTCCATCAAATGTTCTCTGTGTAAAAAATACGCTCATCATGACTGCTTGGGATTACCTGAGCAAATGATTCAATACCTAGAATCATCCAATGAGTTTCCATATCTCTGCAAATCATGCAGACCCAAACTGGATCTGTCTGAAAGAGTTGATACCATCGAAACCATTGAAACATCCCTTAACACCATAGTAGCATCCCTGGACGCCGTAAAAGAAAGAATATCCAACCTTGAAAAAAAAGACACAACGCAAAAACCTGAACATCCAATAGCTACAAACCACATCTCTACCCAACAACCACAACCCAATCCAAAGCCCAATCCACAAATAAACACAACCCAGACAAATATTGATATCCCAATCCTCATCAGAGAAGCTGTTGAGCGTGAACGGAAACATCCAAACGCCATCTTATTTGGTCTAGAGGACATCAATGACAATGATGACATCACAACTGTCCGAAACATCATCAGTGATTATCAAGCATCAACCATCTCCGCTGATGAAATACTTGACATTTCCTGCATTGGCCGAGAGCTCAAAAACAGAGACGGCTCTGTGGCCCCACGCTTGTGCAGGGTCATCTGCAAAAATGAATCAAGCAAATGTAAATTCATTTACACTATAAATTCACTCACCAAAACCAACACCAACCATAAGAACCTCCGTTGTCGCCCTGACCTAACCATACAGCAACGTGCCCGCTCCTGTGTACTCCGCACTGAACTCAAAAAACGTCTAGACAATGGAGAGAAGGACCTGTACATTGACTACCATGCTGACTGTATCAAAAGTAAGCCACACAACCCGCAACTCAGCTTTAACCCTCAACCACAACCCTACCTCAACCGATCCACCATCACCCAAGACTAGGCATGCACGCCCCTAACTACCTCAATTCCAACTACTACTGGCCTTAAATGCAAACTACTCAATGCAAGAAGCCTCGTGAATAAAATACCTGAATTTTTCCTCCTACTAAATATGGCTAAATTCGACATTATATTTGTCTGTGAAACATGGCTCAATGCATCTCTCCCTGACTCCATTACCACAGTAAGGGACTATCATGTTTACCGATCAGATCGTGAAATTTGTAGAGGAGGTGGTGTTGCTATCTTCTATAAAAAGTCCTTACATCTAAAAAATATCCAAGTTACCCAGGAGCTTGCTCTTCCTGAGACCATCATCTGTGAACTATCCTTAAATATCACAATTCAATTCTGACTATATTACAGAGCACCTGATTATGACATTGAACATGTAAACAAGCTAAATACATTACTAACATGGGGTGCATCCTGCCCATACCCTTTTATCTTTCTTGGTGATTTCAATCTACCTCATATTGACTGGACCCTAAATGAATGTACAACTGAAATCATACACACAACCTTCTACAATGCTATTACAAATCTGGGACTGGAACAACTAGTAACCAACAACACTAGACTAAACAACTGCCTCAATCTCATCCTCTGCAATAGTTTGAATTTAATTTACGGAATACAAACTAAAGAACCCTTTTCCAGCAGTGACCACAATATGATTGACTTTTGTCTCAACATACGCCCACACAAAAATCACCACAATGATGTAATCCCCAATTGTAACTTCAAAAAAGGCAACTATGATCTTATAGACAACGATCTCTCATCCCTTGATTGGCAATCTCTATTCACTGGATGCAATACTGTTGAAGACCATTACAACATATTTTTACTTGAAGTCAAAAGAGTCATCAAACTATATGTACCAACAACAACTCCCAAAACAAAACAAAAAAGCAGATTACCCATAACAATAAGGAAACTTCAATCCAAAAAGAGATCACTCTGGCGGAAAAACAAATCTGGTCACGTTGCCAATTTCAAAAGCCGATACAAAAATTTATGCCACCAGATAAAGACCGAATGCACCAATTATCACATTAAACAAGAGGAAAACCTTCTAAGCACCAATTCCACCCGTGCTTTTTACAATTTTGTAAACAACAAACTAAAAGACTCAAGCTCCATCCCACCCTTGATAGGACCTGATGGTAAAGACTGCAACGACGACACCACTAAAGCCAACATCTTTAACACATTCTTCAGCTCAGTATTTGTAAACAGCAATGGATCATGCCCAGTATTTCCTAGCCGTACCACAGATAACAACAATGATCTAATACATATCGATTTTACAGAAGACAATGTTGAAAAAGCACTACGCAATCTAAAACCATCTCTATCTATTGGACCGGATGGAATATGTGCCTACTTCTTAAAAAAGCTATCCACTGCCATAGCCAAACCTCTAAGCATAATCTTTGAAAAATCTTTCAGGACCAGCTCCTTGCCTAACCTATGGTCACAAGCCACAGTCATCACCATCTTCAAAAAGGGAGACCCAAGCCTAGTTGAAAATTACAGACCAATCTCCTTATGCTGCGTCACCTGTAAAGTCATGGAATCAATTAT